AAAAATTAAAATAAATAATTTATTTTAAAATATTTTTTATTTCAAATAAATTATTCACCCATGGTAGAAGAGAGGAGTAATATGTAGGGCGCTCTTAACTTTTAAACCTAATCTAATTTTCAATCTGGCGGAATAATTTCATAATAGGCAAAATGCTAAATTTAAGAAGAAGAAAATATATAAAAGTTACTCCTACTCCATAATAAATGTTACGTGATTTGGTAATTTTGATGGGCACGCAAAACAATCACAGTTCCATCGTATTGTCATTAAATTAGCCTAGGTAGGCAGGAGTATATAGTAAGTAACGCCTTCCTCTGTTTTCATCCTAAGAGAAAAAAATTAAAGGCAATTTCTTTATCCATTCCATAACTTTCTTATGTATTACGTGAAATTTCATAAATGTTTTTCAAAATCGGAAGTATATATTTAGTTCATACCATGTTATATATAAATTATGTTGGAAGAGTTGGATGTAAATCGGAAGTATATTTACGGTTTACAACCAGAAATATACTTCCAGATTATGGAGGAACTATATAATGCGTTGTCTCTTCTCTTTCCATTACAACAATCCATTTAAAACAAAATACAAAATTCTCACAAACTCTCTCAAACCCTTATTTCATAAATCAAATATTTTATCAAAAAATCATCAAAAATTATCAAACAGTGATTAAATAAAGTATTCTAACGCAATCAAGCAAGAAAAATCAACACCAATCAATCAGTATGTTGTTTTTGAAATTTTTTGAGTTTATGTAATTTCTACTCAAATTAGTGAATTAGAGTTCAAACTCTGATATTGTAGCTAGTTATAATCATTATGAGTCATTAGAAAAGTATTTATAAAGTTTATTTGATGATCAATACCCTTATTTGAGCTCATTTGGTGAACTGAGACACCAAATGAGCGTTATTCTGTTATCGCAGAAGGAACCAGAATTAAATTTTCGGTTTTAGTAAGAACAAAATCGCGAGTATAGTTTCGGTTTCTGTCTGTGTCTGTTTTAAACCTTGTTTTGCACACTGGACCTTATGTTAACATTTTTTTGTACTTCTACATGAGATATGGATAAGAGACCCTCACGATTGAGGCACAGTAGGGTTGCACAACATTCTTCTGCATGGAGAGAAATGAGTCAAGCAACCCAGCCTCCTCCAGCCTCTGGACATGCCATATCGGATGCACCTCCTAGTGCTTCAGCCTCCGGTGCGCCAGCTTCTATACTTCTACGTCCTCCTCCCGCAACAGGCAGGATTCTCCAGTTCATCCTTTGTCACCCCCGTCCTCCCACAAACGCACTTCCTCACCTAACATATTTGAGGCGGGATCCACATCCGGTACCCAGGTGGCACCTGAGGCCTAGGCATCATCATAACCTCAGTCTCAGACACCGCCTGAAGCGGTTCCTTAGTCATCCCTGCACTTGAGGTGACACTTGAGATTGCACCTAAGGTTACACCAGCGACACCTAAGGTCGCACCAGCTCAGCCTGCACCTGCAGCCCCTCGGGCTTTTGGAGGAGGACCATCTAATTTATCACTTCTGCCTCTTCATTCCAACCATGTTGTTGGACGTATCTGGGACAGACAGGTATGAATTTTGCATTTTTATTTCTTATGAATTTTATTGTCAATTTTATTATGAACTTTGACTTGAATTTTATTATGTAGTAACGTGATACGCTCAAGGTCATTAGTCATAGGCAGAAGATCAAAAGACTTGTGCCTCCTGCTGAGCCATGGTTTGACGAGCTTTTACGACTTACAATGTTAAAATATTTGGCCCTGTGTGGATACAGCATGGTTAACTGAGGTATGATCAATGCTTTTATTGAGAGGTGGCACCATGAGACGTCGTCGTTTCATCTACCACACGGTGAGATGACGATCACACTCGACAACGTCACATGTTTGCTTAATCTGTCGATCAGAGGGACTTTGTTGGACCATGATGTGATCAACAAAGAGGAGGCGTTGGATTGTTGGTTCAGAAGCTGAGAGTTATCCTTGAGAGTGGCCTCTAAGAAATTGATAAAACCCGTGGTTGCCACGTCAAGTATAGCTATTTGACTAGTGTTAGTGGATGATATTAGACGTTCACGAGAGGCTCATGGTGATCCCGAGCAGGTTACCATTCACAGAGAGTTTGCCATGAGAGCATACTTTTCGTATCTTGTTGGCATACAACTTTTTGTGGACACCAGTGCCACTTACACCGATATCATGTACCCGCAGTGTTTTGATGATTTTGAGACAATCAGCCAGTGGAAGTGGGGGAGTGCTTGCTTGGTTTACTTGTATACCAAGTTGGATGAAGCCATTAAGTGGGATACGAAGCATATGACCTGCAGCATGTCACTCACGATGGTATAAATTCTTTGTCTTTGTGGCCTTTGTTAATTATTTTGATTCTGAAACCAACTATTAATTTTGTTATTTCAGAGATGGATCCTACAACACTTCCTTCGTGTTTCAGATTGGTCATATGTTACGAGTTATACTGAAGATAAGCAACGTGCCTGTGCATACGACCCGCTCCAAGGGAACCAAACGATAGAGCCCTTCCGGGTTTACATTGATTGGCTGGTGCATGAGGACATTCACTTTAATTTATACATCGACCATTGTGTCACGATACCGTTTGACGAGGTTGCGCTATTTACAAGTTGGTTGGCTTACGGGATTTGCAAGACTGCTGCTTATATTCTCGAGTGGGTGATGCGTAAGTTCGGTTTACCAAGACCATTCCCTGGGATCCTGCTGTATGTGCTCCTCCAATTGTGAAACAAAGGGATATGGATGATATGTTTGATGATTTTGAGAATCATCTTGTTTCTGATGAGGCCAGGAGTACCGTAGCACCAGACGACTGGTTACGAGTACGAATACATGATATGGTCCTTCAATGTATCCCATCCGTACATAGTAGAGGATGCTCTAGGGAACCCACTGAGGTCAGTTCATCAGGAGATCCCAGAGGAACATGAGGCTAGAAGGGATCATGCTCATGACGTGTTACCTAGGTGTCATCGTATCATGGAGCTTGCGTGAGATGATATTGACAAAAGGCTGTTTTCTGATGGATCTGATGTTAGAGGTGTTTTGGATGCCATCATGGCAGAGGCTCACGAGGCTCTGTGTTACAGGAGGCAGCAGAGGGACGTCTCGAGGGTGACAGGCCGACTCATCATCCGCCATACTTAGTAGTTTATGCTGATGCATTTGTATTTTGATTTTAGTTTTTTGATATTGTATTGTATCATATTTGTACTTGGATTACATTTTAGTGTTGTGTACGACTCTATCATAATATATATATATATATATATATATATATATATATATATATATATATATATATATATATATATATATATATATATATATATATATATATATATATATATATATATATATATATATATATATATATATATATATATATATATATATATATATATATATATATATATATATATATATATATTCTTTTGTTCCATTTTTTATGTGTGTGATTTGTACAAGTTTTAATTTGTGATGCAAAAAAATGAGAAATATATTTCCAGATTTCCTAATTTATGAGAAATATATGGGTTTTGTGGTTTTTCTGTTACTGACAGTATCAGAACTGAAAATATATTACCGATTTAAAATTGAAAGTATATTTTCGATTATAGTCAAGTTTTTTAAAAAAAAATATGTACCAAAAATATATTTTTGATTTTAAAAGGAGCATTATAAAAATTGCAGAAGATTTAATTTTCTCACATACAGTGGAGTAAGAAATATTCAAAATTAAAATAAAAAATTATAGTATATATTGCACAAAATAAATCATTATAAAAGAAAAAGAATGATACATCAACTATAAATTAATTTTATACCGTGTTAATCAATATACATGTTTGATGTTAAATTAGATTGAAAATTTTAAATTATCTATATAATATGGTAGAATAATATTTTTCAATTAAATGACAATATAATTTTTTTATATTCTCAATACATTTTTATTAAACTCTCATTATAATCGAAATGAAATTGTCCGGTTAAACCAATCCAACTGTTAATGGCGCATGAACATTATACTCATATATAGAGGTACATATTCATACTCAAGACATTTCACTTATTTACTTTTAATAAATAAATTTCAACCACTAAATTTATTAATAAAAAACTATAATAAATTGTAATTAGTAGAGATTGGAATAGCATTTTATAAATAAAATAAATAAATTGAATTTATTTAGTAATTTAGTGACTAATATTTCATCTCTTTAAAAGTGAATAAATAAAAGGAAAAAATTTAAATATAATTTCTTAAATATGATTTAAATTATTTTTAATAAATATATAATGAATATATAATTTTCTCCTATACATATATAATTTTTTTTTGAAATAAACTTGCATAAAAATTAATGTAATCTTTATTCTTAAAAATATTCTATCACAATTTTTTTTATTAATTAAAAAATAAAAATAATTGCATTGTGTAGTAATATGAAAATTGCATCGGATATTCTTACATATTACTCATTATTTAAAAAAAAATTCTTTTTAAAATGATTGAAATAAATTTTATTTTAAAATAATCATTATTTATATTTTTTAATAAAATAATAATTAATATTTTTATAATTATATTCTTTACTTTTTACTCTTTACATTATTTTTAATATATTAATAGAATTAATTTTATAAAATATAATATCTTATAATAATATTATTATATTTATTAATTTGTGTATAAAACTTGTTAACGATAATGATTTTAAAATGGAGGGAATAGTTATACGAAATTATAGAGAAGGAAGATATAAAAAAGTAGCAGTGACATCATGGGAAATTCTATTTACTAAAAAAATAAAAAATGAAATATAAGTATTAGTCGAAAGCAAGTCATAACAGCGTAACTCAACTCAAAACCCCTGAGTCTTCCGCAGCCTCGTAAGTGACTGAAAAGCCAAAACCGAATCACAGAACAAACAATGTCGATCGCTTTTTCCTTCGTCCCCCCTTCTTCCCATTCTCTTTCTTCCCATTCTCCTTCCACACCCAAATCCCTCCCTACCATTTCCTTCTCTTCATCTTCTCTCCACCTCCGTCTCACTCCATCTCCCTCTCCTTCTCTCCGCCTCAACCGCCGCATAGATCCTCTCTTCATTCTCCATTCCACCGATTCCGACGGAGGCTTCGGCGGTCACGACGATGGCGGCTCGTTCGGCGGACACGGCGGCGGCGGAGACGCCAATGACGGAGAAAACAATGACGGACATAACGTAGTTAACGAGGCGCTGTTATTGTTGGCGCAAGCAGGTAGGTCGTTGGAGAGTGTGCCGGCTGACCTAGCTTCTGCTATCAAGGCAGGGAAGATTCCTGCCTCCGTTGTTGCTCGGTTTCTCGAGCTTGAGAAGTCTCCGCTCATGCAGTGGTTGCTTAAGTTTACCGGTTTCAGAGAGCGCCTTCTCGCTGACGATCTCTTCCTTGCGAAGCTCGGTATGGAGTGCGGCGTTGGCGTCATTGCCAAGGTTTCATTCATATACTCCACTCGATTAACTCGCTCAGTTATAGATATTACTTGTAACGATGATGTAATTAAAGCATGAGATTAAACACCTTAAATTTGATTAGTTTGATTGGTTTTGCCATGAGATTACTAGTGAGTTGTTTTCTAAATTGGAGCGGCAAAATTGGTTAATTAAGACTAATTTTATTTTAATTCTGATTCATGTAATTATGTATTTTGTGTGTTTATTTGTTGATTAATTAACAATCTGCTTTCAATTGTATTTCTTGTCTTCTTAGACTGCTGCTGAGTATGATCGCCGGAGAGAGAACTTTTTCAATGAGCTTGAAATTGTGTTCGCCGATGTGGTATGAATATTCTCAATTTTGCAGAATTTTTTTCCTATCAAATTTGCTGCTTAGTATCAGTTACAAATTGCAAATTGTTTTATGATGCCTCGCAATGGATATGTGCGTGATCGATCTGGCTACTTTTTGGTGGTGATTATTTTCTTGTGTGTATGCTTTTTAGCTTTTTCATCTTTGCAACAGACTATTTTTGACATGTTTCTGAGATGCATTATGTTCCAAAGTTTTTGATTGACTCGAATTTGAGATATCTGTTGAGAGAGCGGATTTTTATTTCCTCTTGTTGTTTGTTGCATTTTTTGTCACTGTTTTGGTATGAAAGTCTTCATGAGACTGATTAAAATTAAAAAAAATATAGACTAGATGAGATGGTTGTCTCTTGATTTATATAAAAACATTTTCTTTGGTTTTAGGACCAACTACTTTTGATGATATAAATGCCAAATGAAAGATATACTAAAAATATTTTTAATGAAAAACATCATTTGTTTGGGTTAAAGAATATCTTTCTCTGGGGAAGAGTTTATGTATTAATATTTCAATTAAATCTTGGTTTTTTTACTCCTTAACATATGTTTTTTATCTTGCTCTTTGTGCATGATATAGTGGAGAGAAAATATTACTTCCTATGAAACATGTATAGTGCATTGTAGTCAATTCACATAACATCCCTGTTTCATATATTGTTCGCAGGTCATGGCAATACTCGCAGATTTCATGCTAGTTTATCTTCCTGCGCCTACTGTTTCTCTTAGACCACCACTGGGAGTTAGTGCAGGGGCTATTTCTAAGTTTTTCCACAACTGTCCAGATAATGCATTCCAGGTTTACATTAGTTTCACATGGTTTACATTACTTAAGCAATTTTCACCACTAAAAGAGTAAATGTTATAAGTGTTTACTTACCACATTCTTAACTTCCTTCCACAGGTTGCTCTCTCTGGAACATCATATTCTGTCTTGCAGAGATTTGGTGCAATTGTGGTATGTACAATCTGGGAACTTCTATTTTATCCTTTCTTTTTAGGTTTTACTTTCTCGTGGCTAAATTGATTTGCAAAATGTGGTTACCTTGCACAGCGTAATGGGTCCAAGCTTTTTGCAGTTGGAACTGGCGCATCACTGGTTAGTTCTCATTATACTTGGGGTATTTCTTGTGCTTTGTGGTATAATAGAAAATGATAAGTTTTGACATCATTTGACCTTCACAAGTTTTATAAGCACTTCTGGATGTATATTCATTATTCGCAGTAACAAAAGTAAAGCAGACTCATGAATTTGCAATGGGGTTGACTTGTTCAGTTTTCTCATTTACTTTTAAACTATGACTTCGGTTCTAGCCAGACTTCTAATGTTTAAATTCCAACAATGGGGTTTATTTTTCACCACATGGGTTTTCAGGGTGAGCTGATTGGTATAATATATATCTTCTATTATGATAAACTCACGGTCATCAAAAATTAATTTGAAATCATTTATCTACTGGTTCTGAAGACTGAGATAGTAAAAGGCTTAAAATGTTTGCCAAGTAAAAAATCCAATAAAAAATCCTGCCGAGTGTTATTTGCATTCATTGTTTTGAATGTAAGTGTAATCAACAACTAGGATCAAACACCAACGCTTGCATTTTGTTTTCCTTCAGGTTGGGACAGCTGTGACGAATGCCTTAATTAATGCAAAGAAGGCTGTTAACAAGTCTTCTGCAGAGGAAATTGAAAATGTTCCGATATTGTCCACCAGTGCTGCTTATGGTGTTTATATGGCAGTGTCTAGCAACCTCAGGTAATCAGGATAATGTGTTAGTGATTACCATTAGTGATGGATATTTTTTTAAGCTAATCTAAAATCTACTACTGCTTCAAGCAACTTGTGTTTGGACAATTTCATGTTGTTTATTGTATGACTTTCTGAAGAAAGTTTACAGTTTATAAATTGAAACTATATTTTGCCACATCATTATGTTACAATAATCACTGCCATTATATTAAAAATGTTTCGAGCTGTTCATGTCTCAATTAACTGAATATGTTGTCTGAAGCTTCTACTAAGAATCTTATTTGCCTGATAGGTACCAAGTTCTTGCGGGAGTTATTGAACAGAGGGTTTTGGAACCTATGTTGCACCAGCACAAACTTATACTTGGTGCTCTTTGTTTTGCTGTTCGAACCGGCAATACATATTTGGGTTCATTATTGTAAGAATCTTCACATCTTTTCTGATTACTTGAAAAAAGAACTTTTATTGTTGACAGTAACTTATGTTTTATAATTTTGTCGTTACAGATGGGTGGATTATGCTCGTTGGATAGGAGTGCAGTAGGCCTAAAGACAAAGATAATATTAGACTTGGATCTTTCTTGATGGACTGCATCAAGAAGCTTGTTTTCTTCACTACTTGACATCACAAAACAAATTAGCAGAGTAGCCCAATAGTTTTTCATTTCTCTATATTTATTTTACATGCTCATTGCCGAGCACTCGAGTTATTTTTTGTTTTTTCTCATAAGTTCCCTCATTCAATTGATGTAACGAGGATGATAACAAATACTATATTTTAATCTCTGGGAACAAGGATACAGTTTGAAACTAGATGAGATGGTTGCAGCAGGTTGAAAGATATTAAAGAAACAAGTCTTTTCTTATTTCACAAATTTAACCTATGTTCAGCAATTTCTGTTTGATTTTGTAGAATTATGATATCTTTTTTCCAGAGCTTTATCTAGAGTTATGGCCGGTTGAGGTACTTTCAGTCTGGATGCATCTCTTCTCTTTATTGAGCAAATTTGTTCTAGATTGGTGGTGTTCAATTATACATTTTACAATTGTTTCTTTTTCTTCATTATATAACATTGGCATGTTAGTGAATGGAATTGGAATGATCTATTACTATTTTTTCAAACAAAGATCAAACTCCAGAATTTGGAAGAGGAAAAAATGAAAAGGACACTGAATTATTTCTTCTGAACTTTGGGAATCTAGGGAGGGATGAGGGGAAATGGAACGGACAGAAAGAGAAATATCTCAGTGCCCCTTCTACGGGTGTGGATTCTCTGATTTTATCGAGGGAACTGCACCCTACACAATCTCTTTCGTATGCATTCCCTCCATTTTTTCACGTCCTTTCCTACTAGATACTTGGGTTTGTGAACCCGTCTCTTTCTGCATAGGCTGTCTCTTTCTCTATAGGTAATAGGTTGTCTACACTAATGCATAGGCTGTCTCTTTCTCTATGTAATGGTCACACCTTTGCATTTCAAAATTGGGATCACTTCATCAAAGCGGCATTTATTTTTGTCAAAAATTATTCATATTCCAATTTCCGGATTAACCTTACATACATATTTTTGTGTTTCCTTACTATGGGAAAAACAGTTTAGAATTTCAATCTTCAGATTAATATGATGACAATATTTTACACTATTAGATAGAGTTAGAAGATTTTTTTTTTTAATAAACCTTATATTATAAGTCATTAATAAATCAATTCCACAATAAATCATACACATTTGTCATTTAATAGTAAAATCAAAATAAAAGAACTATTATGTATATTTGAATGTCAAAATATTAAATACAAAATGTCATAATCAATATCACAATAAATCATAATACAAAACGTCTAAATGTTCAAAGTAAAAGACAAATATTGTGTATATCTGATGCCCCTGTTCCTCCTTTGCAGTCGGTACTACAACACATGTTGTGCCTTTGCTCAGATGGTTTGTAGAGTGACCATATGAGGAGTACATTCCTCAAACTCGCACACCTCTCTCCTAATAGCCACAATACAACCTTCTCTAAAATCTCTTGATGAGTTGACCTTAGAAGATTTCCTTCTGCATCTGGTGAAATGTATGGATGTGACACTCTATAAAATCATTGTATGTAGTTGTATACCGTAGTACGAGGAGCTGAAAAACGACATACATCCTCTAGAACCAAATGATCGTAGTATTATGTAAAAATCTCATCAACGTCCCTTGCGGAGGACAGTGGCAGGAGCATCAACAACAGGGTCTTTGGGTATACCATGGATATACATGAACTAACACAATACTCACTCAGGTAAATGTGGGTACATAAGTCGAGGCTCACATGCCAACCATCAAGAGTACTAGGGTATCATCTCCAAGGGTCGTGTATCACAGTGCTCAACGTACGATATAAAGCAAATATCATTTGGCATAATGCAGTCAAGAGCAACTTGGAATGTCTAAGTCGCCTGATTCCCTCTCAACAAAATGATTTAGCACACACGTAGCTAAACCTCAGAGTAATCTTCCACCTATGTCCAACCAACAAGATGTGGAAAATGCTGGTGAATCCATGCTTGAAAATGGTTCAAATGAAATACTAGTAATGTTGTAACATAAGTATTATGAAATTAGTATTAGCAATGATGCAAAAAATTATCGTAAATAGACAATTGTTTCATGTCAAATGTCGAGTTTTCCATAAACTACCCTTAGCTAAATTTGAATAGAGATACACACACAAGAAACTACCTAGTTATACTCGTGAATCCTCTCCAATTCAATGAAATTTCTAAGGTAGATAACATCGATTTATGTCACACTTTTTCCACAAATATGGATGTGTTGACCAAAATAAGAGGTATAACCTCAATGCAGACTCTGGTATGCATTATGTGCATCATCATCGCCAACATCCACAACTGCAACCAAAAGGTATAACCTAAATGCACAAACTTTGTGGTATGCATTATGTGCATCATCATCGTCAACATCCACAACTGAAACCAAGAGGTGTTCATATATATCCACCAAGAATGAAAACCTAGCATGACATCCTCTAGTGTCATTTATCTCAAATTTACTGGTTTTCGAGTAGTTTAATAATTTTCTCGTGACTAGAAAATCTATGAGGCATGATATATAATAAAGCGTGATGGATATTTCACTGATAGGAAGATGAAATATCGACGTCTCTACGTGTCATCTCTCCATAAAAGCAGACAATAATCCATAATTAATATGTTGTATTCAATCCTGTAACCCAGATAGTTACAAGACTTCATAAAACCATGGTTCATTAGGTTGTGTCAGCTTTGCAACCTTCCTGCCATGGTTGGTACATTTTAAAGTATCATGATACTAAAAAAAGTTAAAACCATCATCAGTCAGTTCAAATGTTATAACACAAATGTATAAAAGTGTAATTAAAGATTTATAATACCCCCCCCCCCCCCCCCCCCCCACACACACATTCCTAGCGACACGAGGAAGTAGTGAAAGGTCAAAGGGGCCTCCTGTTGCAACTGGTTTTTAAATTAGAGTCGTCACCCTTAATTTTTATCCTAAAGGAAAGAAGTATAAAGGAATAACCCTAAAAGTCAGAGATTCTAGATTTGGACTCGGTTCTAGACAAAGGGAAGGTGTTAGGCACTCCTTATCTACCTTGTTCACAAGGATATTAGGTTTAGAAGCGCGATGTTTAGGAAATAGGTTTTATTATTAATAAGGGAAAAGTGTTTGAATTTTAGTTAGGGGGACTCGCAACGATTTTTGATCGTATGCCTACGTATCCTCCTTAGGAGGAATCAGTGTCTCATTTTCGTAGTTCGCAGTTGGTTTGTGTTTTTTATGGATTACGCAAATATTTTAATTTTCCACGCACTTAGTTCGAATGTGTAGATAGCCGAGATTTTGAACTAAGTGCAAAGTTAATTAAAAATTCTTTGTATTCCTTTTTTGAAAATTAATTGTTAGATTTAATTTATTATAAAAAATGGTTTGACGTTTGTTTGCGTATTTTTAGACGTATGCAGCTGAAGAGTCTAATATAGCCTTCTTATCACGTGACCAGATATTGGCCACGTGTCGCTTACGGATATTATGATTTTAATGAATCATGGGTTTTAATATTTTGATATAAAATATTAAATTAAATTTTACAGTGAGAATTGCCTCTAAGGATACAATTTTAAAGATGTGATTTAATAAAAAATATTTACATTGATTAAGTCTAAATTAATTAATTATACTAATAAATATACATATAATTATAATTAAGGAATAGTATAATACTATAATTATTAAAAATAAATAAAATCAGAAAGAAAGATAAATAACAAAAATATATTTACAAGAATAACATAAAAAATGAATTTTGCTGGGGGTGCATAACTTCTCTAATCATTAGTAAAAATTAACAAAAACGGAGTGCAGTCAGCAATTTGGCCAGGGGGAAACTGAAGCCCAAAATACCCAAAAGAAAAAAACATAGTAAAAAAAAAGCGACATGGGCCGGGTCATTTCTTCTTTTGGCCCGATAAATCCCATCTCTCTATCTCTAATACCCCTTTCTCTCAACCTTTCCCATTTTCTTCTTCATCCATTCCTAAGCCCTAGTCCTACCACGACTCCCGCGGTGGCACTCTCATCCTCACCCATCCCGAAAAAACAATCTTCCCACCCTAAACCAAACATGACAAATACGAAAAATATAAGTGGTCTATGGTTGTCTTACCTCTAAAGCGCGATTTTGTTTCTGAGTTCCGACCTCTTTGGCTAACTCCCGTTTCTTTTTGCTCACAGATGCGACGACGAGGTTGACGTAGCGGCAGTGAAGTATTGGTGACGGTGGCTCCACCGGGTTTAGAGTTTCAGATCTCGAAACTCAAACCCCAAAATGAGAGTGCAATTGCAATGCGACGAATTCTTCTCTCTCTACGGTAATTTTCTGTCTCTTTTAATTCCTGTCACGCCTCCCCCCCCCCCCTCTGTCAAATTCGCTTTAATTTATAGTTCTTGCAAATTAGGTTTTTTAGGAATGTCTTTAATATGTCTGCAATTATATTGCTGAAAAATTGGATTATTTTCCTCCTTCGCTGATTTGCCTTAATTATTGTTTATGTGGTTGCCAAATCTGCAGTTTCTTGCCCAAATGTTAGGGACATATTCAAATTACTTCCATATTTCATGATTTTGTACTTTAAGCGTAATAACTTTTCCTGTCTGCCTTTGATTATGATTTTAAAAGCAAATATGCATTTTACTGATCTTCAAAACTTTTTTTCAAAATGTTTCCAAAAACATCTGATTGCCCTGTTTATGCTTCTGTACTTGCCTAATTTGTTTTGATGAGTACTGATTTGGCTGTAAATGCACAGTCCTGTGCTTTGAATGTTGCCCTGTTTTGGATATTTTCATGTTGCAAAATTTGATTAAGTTACTGTTTTGGGTTCCAAAATTGTAGAGACCTTGGTTGGAGCTTCCATGGATAACAACTCCATACCGTGATCTTTTTAAAACCTCCACAGTTTTAGAAGGCTGCAAGTAATCACATACATACGTCCCT